TGCTGGGGGATTGAACCGCGGTCCCTGATGCTTTTGCTAAGCTTGTTCTAAGTAGGTGCTTTAGACCACTGAGCCATCTCTCCAGCCCCAAAGAAATCTGTAACTGGTTGTGATCAATTAGTTGTAAACACCACTGCACTCGGACCAGCCCACATTTTTTAAATAAGATTTCACCAAACGTGATGGTTCCTGCCTATAATCCCTGCCTTTTGGGAGGCTGATGCAGGAGAATCCCAGTGCAAACAAAACAATAAAAAAGGAAAGAAAAGCCCGTAACAGCTGGCCCCACGAGTCCACTTAGGAAAGGAGGGAGCCATCTGGTAGGGGAAGGTAGGGAGAGAAGAAATCTTGAGGGACTGGTCTTAGCAGGAACCAGGGGACCAGAGAAGGCGCCCTGCTGTGCTTGTGGTTGGGCAAAGGGCCTGTACTTCGTTGTTTCTACTTCTAGAAGGGAAGGAAGAAGAGAGGGAGCAGGTAAGAAAGAGCTCAGGAGAGGAGAAAAGAAAATGGACGAGGTGGGGAGAAGGACGGCAATAGTGATACCATGGCTCAGGTTGAGCTTCTTTGGTTGGAGGATGTGAACGCCTTCTTCCATCTCTGGGAAATTCTGCCCAGTTCATTGTGCAAACTAAAACCTGAAAGTCTAGGAGGCTGAGTAAATGAAAAGCCCTGGGGAAGTTCACACAATGAGGGAAACCGGATTTCCTGGGCCCTTGAACTGGACTGGGAGACCCCTACCTGACATCTTGTTTTGCTTTTCTGTTCCTACCAAGTTCAGTATAAAAATGAATACCTTTTGTTGCACACTGAACTCTCACTTGGGAGGGGAAAGTCCCTACTTCCTAGGTCCTGATTTGGTTGTGGGTTTCAAAAAGCTTGCTCTTTCTGAGTTGGCCTCTACCCAGGGAGCAAAAGAGCCTTCCAGCCTGTGTTCCCTGATTACCTTACATAAGACTCTGTCTCTCCCAGCCTCTGAAATTATCTTCTGCGATTCTTTCTAAGACAGCTTTACTCTGAGCTTCCTGATTTCTTCCAAATGCTTCTTCAAGCTTTTTCACTTTTTCCCTTATGAGTTCAAGTGAGGCCGGGGAGATAGCTCAGTAGAATAAGTGCTCGCCTGGCAAGCACAGGGC